GAGAGATATAACTCTAATGTCAAAAGCATACAAGATCAAAATAAGAATTTATAGGCCTATCTCATGCAATAATGTAGAATCCAGACAATATATTAAGAAAACATAACCAGATGAGTTTATCCTAGGAATACAAATATGATTTAAAAGGAAATTGCTTTTTGAAATTTATCATAATAACTCTATAATTATGTTAATACACGATCAAAGATTACTTGCTAAAAGTCAACATTCATTAGTGACCAAAATAAACCACAACCTAATATAGGAAAAAAAAAACACTTAAACATGCTCAACCTTGACTTCAAAATTAACATGAAGAAGGCTCAAAAATAGCCAAGGTGATTTTGAAGTAGAATAACATAGGAAGACATTCTACCAGATTCTGCATAAACTCTGGTATGGCTTTAATATATGGATATAAACTCCACAAATGGAAATGCTAATTCATTGGGGAAAAGAAAAAACCATCCAAATGAACAGAGTAATACAATTGGTCTTGTATAATGGAAAAATAAATTAACAAATCCCTACTTAATTTCATATAAAATAATCACTTATAGAAGGTTCAGTGCCCACCATTTGAAAATATTTTGAAGAAAAATAAAAACTTATATATGATTTTAAGGGAGAAATGGATTCTTAGTTATATATTAATGATAAAATTAAAAATTTATGTTCAAGAAGGATATGATGAAAAGAGGACACAATAAATTATGAGAAATTATTTGTGATACATACACCCAACATAGGATTTATATCCAGAATTTAAAGTTAAAGAAAACTTAATAGAAAAACATGTATAATTATTATACTTATGGTTTATCATTATATACAGCTGTTAAATATAATTTATAATCAGGAAATGTGAAGTGAAGCAACAAACCCATTTTAATGTCATTAAAATTTTTAAAATTAAAAACTAACAATTTCAAAGATTGATAAGGTTGTAAAGAAATAGAAACACTCACTGCATCTCAAGAGTATTTACTGATTTAAAGAGAAAGGCTACCTGTAGTAAAGTTTCACATTGTAGGAGAAATATACATAGGCTATTGATTGCAAAATTGCAACAGTGAAATACCCAAAGAAACCTAACTGCCAATCAACAAAATAAGGAATCAATAAATTGGGAATTGAGGATGAATAAATCTTCAACTTATTGTTAAATAAATAATGTCCAGGGGGGAAGCAAATTAAAGCAGCATAGATTTTAGTTGTATCTCAAAACATACAGCCAATATTATATATTGTTCATATGCTCTCTCTCTCTCTCTCTCTCTCTCTCTCTCTATATATATATATATATATGTAGCATAAAGCCATGTTTTATATTGTCAAGGAAAAAAAAGTAACTCCTATCAATGGGAATAAAAGTCAGTGCAGTTCGGCCCTCCCTGGTGGTGCAGCGGGTTAAAGCACAGCACTAAGAAGCTAAAGCCACTTCCGCATGAGTTGGATTCCCGCCTGCCCCGGAGGTGACCACATGGCGAGCCAGACCTCTCCTGACCCGCCCGCTGCTCCCCTCAGCAGTGTACTTCATCCATCTGCCTGTTCTGTTCCCCACTCTGTCTCGGTGAAGCCTCTTACCGCCCCTGAGCCTCTGGC